AGCATATATTTACTTTCCTAAATGAGCATTGTGTAAAGTCAAAATATAAATAAGTCAAGTAAAATTTTATACCCGGGAGTAATTGATTCCTTAAAACTAGGGACATTACATATTTAATTTTATATTACCAAATACTACTTTCATGTTTGAGTATTTATCCAATTTTAATTTTTTATAGTGAATTACTTTCAACTTTGATTTTAAATTAAACAAAATATTTAAAGTATATCAATATCAATATCGAAAAACATTCTTTATAGTAATATAAGTAACGAAGCTGTTCAGGAAATATTAAAAAAGTAATAAAAACATTGCTTACATTTTTACAGTACATTTATGTAAATAAGTTTTTAGATGAAGTTTTAGATAAGTGTTGTTATAAAAATGAGTAATGTTAGAGTCACAAACAAATAGTTCACAAAATTCATAAACTTGCATTTTTAATATTTTTCTAAAAATAAGATGCACTCAAATAATAAAACATATTTTAATTTAAAATCCATAAAAGGTAAGTTTGTGAAGTTTGTGAACGATTTCTGTGTAACTCTAACATTTTCCTATAAAAATATATCCTGATGAATATTTATTTCTTATCATTAAATATTTTCATAAGTAAATGATATTTCAAGGACATATAAATGCTTACCATTTTCAAATAAGTGGTTTTATTACAATGTCTAATGTAATAATACATATATGCCTAACAAAAACATTATAGTTTGTACTGTACATTTATTATTAATTACGATACATAATGTCATTTTTTATTAAAAACAATTTGCATGTCTATTTCCTTTCATATCCATTCTAGCCAGTTATATACTCCATCTGCCACGGAAAACATGAGAGTTTTGATTTTGAAGAAGGATTTAAGAGGAGTGTATTTTGGTATTGAATTTCCAAAAATGTCCTTTGATGTGATAGGTAAAAGTATGATTTGATGGATAGATTATTAGTAAAAAGGTATGACGTGATAGGTAGGGTATGAAAAAGTAAGGGGTAAAAGTGACTTTTTAATAGAAATGAAAAGTGTTTTTTGGGACGGATGAAAAAAGAAATGAGAAAGGTTTTCTGGGACGGAGGGAGTATATTTGCTCCACCCGTGAATTACTATCATCGATAAATTTTTTTTCTACCACGCGCTCCACCTGTGGATCACTATCACCCGTTAATTTTTAGCTTCTACCCAAGTTTAAAAATAATTTGAGTACTCAAATTTTAAAATTCATTTCATACTATACGTAGAATTGTCACAATTATTTAGATATAATTAATATCATGCGCGGTTCAACTTTAGAGATTATTTGTAAATCATAAAAGTGACCTAAATTTTAAACGACTGCAATTTTTAAATGCAATCAATAAAAATTGATATTTTTCATTTTTAATGTTTTTAAATTTCAAACACAACGTAATTGTTCAAATTTGTAATTTGTAATCTAATTGATGTATAATATTATCAATTTAATGCAAAGTTTTTAGTTTTACACTGAATTCTTTAATTACTATATATTTGTATTTGTGTCAGTTATTTCATTATTTACTAAATACTACGCAAGTTTCATTCTGTACCTATTAGTGTACTGTTAATGTGGGGTTTTTTTATAGGGATAGTAATGCAGTTCACAAAAAAATTCAAACTTCAAATTGCTCTAAATTTTATATTTTGATTTAATAAGCTATTTGTTGTTATTGTACTTTTTTCAATATTAACGCAATTAAATAATTTTATATTGGAAATATTAGCCGTGCAACGCACGGGAGTGATACTAGTTGTTTGTAATTAGGCATTTACATATCAGTAGTGTCTGTAATTACAGACACGTAATGTTTGTGATTACAGGTGATTAAAAAAAGCAATTCAATCAAGATTTTTGTCTCACAAATAAAGAGTTTTACAAAACAAACATGATATATGTACACTTTCTTGAGTCCATATCCATTTGTATGGATGGTAATGTAATACAGAAAGTAATACATAAAGAGCCAACAAAGAAGGGGAAATTTTTTTATTTGATTTTGACTTCTAAATACTAAGACATTCACAAATTTGTAAAGTCTACAACGTAAAAATTTAAAATATTGCAAAAAAGAGTTTTTAACGCATAATTGAATGAAGATACATATATTAATTTTTTTTAAAAACAAGTATGTTTCTATTTAAACTATAAATTAAAGACTATAAACATTCAATACTATAAATTTAAATTTTATGATTTTGATCCCTTTTCTTTTTTCTCTTGGTTCTCCACCCTTTTCTTCATCTTCTTCAAAACCTACACCCTCCCCATCCATTTTTTCTCCTCTTCCTATTCCAGCCCCACCCGCACCCCATCGTCCTACATACTCCCTCCTAGAATATCCGCACCCCCATAAGTGTAATGATTCGATCTATCCTAAGCTAGAATATCCCCACCCGCACCCTCCTAGAATATCCCCACCCCCATAAGTGTTATGATTCGACCTATCCTAAGCTAGCATCTATCCTAATATTAGCTAGGTGTAAATGTGTAATAATGACCTATCCTAAGCTAGCATATAATATATACATTATTTAAAAAGACATGAATTTTTTCCCGTCCATGCATGACACTCATATATGGAAAGTGTTGACAACATAAATGGTAGTTTAATTATTTTACCTTAATGTTTTCCTTCCATTTTAAGTATGTTTTTATTTTTATTTTTATTTTTATTTAAATGTTACACCATTTAAGCATTTAAATTAAATTAAATTAAATAGTAGTGAACCATTATTGGGGAATTGAAAAATGGAAATAAAATACACTGGCATTTAAATATTAAAATAAAATTTAAAAATTACAAATTAATATAGTATGGGTAGGATTAAAATGATTTATTTCAAACAAATTACAAATTAATTATTTATCATTAAAAAATATTATAATTTACAAGCACAAACGCGTAAAAATGGTAAGTTTTATAAAATAGATTAAAAAATAAATATGGTACGGTAAGTAGATGATAACATTTAAATAAAAGAATAAAATAAAAAACTACAAATTAATATTAATGCTATAATTTAAAAGAATGGAAACATTTTAAAAATGACAAATGTTCTTATTAGAAAATTAGAAAATAAATAGATATGGTATGGTAAGAAATTAGCACCATTTAAAACGAAAATAAAATAAATGGTAAGTTTCTAAAATAAATTAGGTCAGTGTTCTAATATAAAAGAGAAAATAAAATACTCCCTCAGTCCCCAATTTTAATACAAATTCCGGGTTATGCAGTAAAATTTCTTACTTTTTGAAATCATTTTATTTACAAATTGATATATCAATAAGATATAAAAATTACATATTAAATAACTACGTCAAAAGTTCTACAAAACAAGAAGTGATAAGAATATTTTATTTTATCAAATACTTAATGAAATCGCGTAAACAAACAAAAGTTATCGAGAGGAGAGAAAAAAATTGTAATCTATTTAGGGACAGAGAGAGTACATCTAAAAATGATAAGTGTTCTAAAATAAATTAGAAAACAATGTGGTTTGGTAAGTAATTAGTACGATTTAAATGCGAAAATAAATTAAAAAACTGCAAAATTAATATTAATACTATACTTTAAAAACATGATTTTTTTTAAAAAGGAAAGTGTTCAAATTAGAAAATTAGAAAATAAATACGGGATGGTATGTCACCACGATAAGCAAAAGGTACCATTTAAACACAAAATAAAATAAATGGTAAGTGTTCTAAAATAATTTAGGTAAGTGTTCTAAATAAATTAGAAAATAAAATAATTATTAAAACGATAAGTATTCTAAAATATATTAGAAAATAAATACAGTACGGTAAGTAAATGATACCATTTAAATAAATAAAATAAAATAGAAAACTACAAAATAAAGCTATCAATTAATACTACAATTTACAAGCATGGTAACGTGTAAAAATGGTAACTGTTATAAAATAAATTAAAAAATAAATATGGTACATTAAGCAAATGGTACCATTTAAATGCAAAAATTAAAAAATTATAAATTAATACTATTAATATTATAAGCATGGAAACATGTAACAATGGTATAAGTATTCTAAAATAAATACTATTAATACTATAATTTACAAGCATGGATACGTGTAAAAATGGTAAGTGATCTAAAATAAAATAGAAAATAAATACCATAGGGTAAGTTAATGATACCACTTAAATACGAAAATAAAATTAAAAAATACAAATTCCAAAATAAATACATTAATATGTTGAATTATTACTTAGATAAGTCAAATTATTGAATTATTATCAAGAACAATATCTGAAACATATTAAATTATTGTTACGGAAACTGGTATTTAGTCATGAGAAAGTGTATGTTGCAGTTTAAAGAGTAATAAATCGCAATGACTTGAAGATTCTGATATACAACGAAGTGAATGCTCACACAAATTATACATACGAGTGATGTAGTTTATAAAGAAGTCTTTCAAAATTTGTAAATCATTTTACTTTTGTACTTTAAAATAATGAAATATCTATATTCCATCATATAACAATTTATATTCCTAAAAATGATCTTAAGTTAGTACCGTAATTATGACCCGTGCAACGCACGAGTGTGATACTAGTTGTGTATAATTAGCTTAAAAAATATGAATAGATACTACATCATACTGTAATCTGGTCAATAACACTGAAAAAATAATTTTAATAAATTCAACTTGTTTAGAACATTCAATATTTTTAATGACATCGGCTCTCTTTGGTAATAACATTAGCATTTTAAAAATATTATTTATGGGTATAACGTTTTTAAAATTAATCTGCATTATGAAATTTTATCCAAAATGCTAATCTTAATGAAAAATGTTAGTATTTCCAAACGCACCATATTAATATAAAATAAATTTGTGATTATTGAAAAAACGCCAAGGGTCTCGTGGATAACGTAGGCGCAAGTACCAGGCTCTCCTTCCACAAATTTATCCAACGAAAACGCCATTCAACGACTCCATAGACCATAGTACTATCGTGTAAACTACTTCCCATATTAATAAATGGAGAAAGGTCAATGCCATGGCCATTTCCTACGGAGCACACCGCCGTTAACTTACTCACGGCCACTGCCCCATTTCCCCGGAGCTTTTCGAGATGGCACCGCTGCAGGCGGAGGCGCCGGCGGCGATCAAGGCACTGTTCGCCGATTACTCGGATAATGGGATCATGACCATCGATCATTTCCACAGATTCCTCATCGAGATCCAAAAGCAGCTGGATGCTACAAGGGAAGATGCGATTGCATTGTTTCAACAAATTGGTGTGCAGGCCGGGCAGGGTTTAGATCTTTACGGGTTCTTCAAGTACATCTTCGATGATTTTAACTCTCCTCTCCCTCTTAACCGTGGGGTATACTTTTCTCGCCCTTATTTTCTGATTTACATTTTGTGTTATTTTATGAAGTTTTGCTGTTCTTTGTTTGTGGGTTGTGGTTGCCTATAGGCTATAGTTTGTATTGCCTCTGATAAAATACTCTCCCCTTTCCCCTAATAAACTTAGATGTTTGACTTGATGGAGTTCAAAAAAGTGTTGAAAAATAATAATGTGTTAGCATTTAATTATAGAGGAGAGAAAAGTCTGTGAGTTATTTCTGGCAAATTCTGCCATAGAGCTAAGGTCCACGATGCACCTATAGGCGGCAAATGCTTTCTGCTCAGATGATCAATTTTTGAAAAAGAAACCTTCGTGAGAAGGGCGACAAAAAAATTTGTGGACCTTAAGTCCACCATAGAAGCACTCCATGTTTCATTTCTAAAATAAAAAATAGAAAAAGAGAAGTGTGAATATTTTAGAACCAAAAAGTACGTATGAAGTTTATTATGGGATGGGTACATTAAGAATTGCACATTCAATGATAAAACAACCTTCTTATAGGAAGTCCTGCGAGTCCTAGCAGCACTAGTATATAAATGGGCTAGACTAGGCTGTGTGTGTGTGTGTAAAGACACACACACACACACATACAAATTTATATGTGTGTCTATATATACACACACATACAAATTTAATACAAATGTACAAGAAATAATACTCTCTCCACCATATGATTGTTATTATATTACACAAATTTTAAAAAATTATGATAAAATGAATTTCTTGAAGTATTTTGAAAGGAAAATTTTATCAAACCATTTTCATCATATCACATCATTTAATGTTTTTTGAATTAATCAATGATCAAAATTCATGATATTTGGACAAACAAATTAGGACAGAGTGAGTGTAACAACAACAACAAAAACGATAATAATATTCTAAAAGTAAATTTCTCGTGCTGTTGTCTTCTCAGATATTTGTTAATGTATTTTAGTGTTATTCTGGGGGGATTTCAGGTGCACCATGATATGAATGCCCCTCTGTCTCAATAGTTTGTATTTACTGGGCACAATTCATATCTGACTGGAAATCAACTTAGCAGTGACAGCAGCGATGCTCCCATTATAGATGCGTTGAAACGAGGTGTGAGAGTGATTGAATTGGACATATGGCCTAGTTCATCTGGAGATGATGTTCATGTTTATCATGGGAGGTAAAGTGTCAACCTAGACATCCTTTAGTTGATTTATTAGGATCAACATATGCTCAATGAACATTTTTTTTAATTCAATACATTAATTAACATTTTTTCTTCTCTAAATACTTGCCTTGTTTACTCTTTGTAGGACACTGACATCTCACGTGGAGCTTATCAGATGCCTAAAGTCTATCAAGGAGTATGCATTTATTGCATCAGATTATCCAGTTATCATCACCTTAGAAGACCACCTCACTCCTGATCTTCAGGCTAAAGTGGCTGAGGTGAGTCTTTCTTATCTTTGAGGGCCTGCTTGGCAGGATGGTTCACTTTACTCTATGTCATGATAAATCGAATTCTTCTAATTATGAATATAGGTTGGTTGAAACTTTCTATGATATTCTGATTATGCCTTATATCGGTTTGAAGCTCATGCATCATATGCAGTAATGATTGATTATCCTTTTATTTATCTGTAGATGCTCACTCAAACCTTTGGAGACATTCTGTTTACTCCCGGCTTAGTAAGCTTAAAGGAATTTCCCTCCCCAGAATTGTTGAAGAAACGAATTCTCATATCAACCAAACCTCCAAAGGAATACCTTGAGGGAAAAGAAATTAAAAAGAAGGGTGATTTGGAGAGTGAAAAATCTTGCCATATTCAAGCTGATGACAAGGTGTGTAGAGATATTTAATAAAAATTTATATATTGAAAGTTTTCAATATTTTGCCCTTTTCTTGCAGAATGAACCCGATGAAGATAGCGATGATGAGGAAGATGGAGATATAAACTCGAGCCGAAAAGTAGCCCCTGAATATAAACATATAATTACCATTCATGCTGGGAAGCCTAAAGGTGGTTTAGATGTAAGCCTGAAAGTGGATTCTGAAAAAGTGAGACGACTCAGCTTAAGTGAGGAGAAACTTGAAGATGCTGCAGAAACTCATGGAAGAGAAATTGTCAGGTTCTCTAATGCACCCATTTGATGTGTTAGGTGTTGCCGGTCTATTTGGGGGTTCCCTTTTCACTTTTTTCAGTCCTATGCATGGTTCCTTGGGAACTTCTAGTTTAGTTGGGGAAACTATTTATGAATTTCATCAAAAGCAATCATAACTTCCCAAATCCCAATTTAATGAATTGGATAATAATTTCAATCAACTTATGCACATCTTCACAACTATTCAATGTACATGGGTTTTGTAAATCGTCTGAAACTTCAATCAAGTGATGAAGGGTTTCTCATGTTTTTACTTTTAGTGTAGGTTCACCCAGAGGAATATTCTTAGAGTCTACCCAAAGGGTATTCGTGTAAACTCATCCAACTACAACCCACTGATTGGATGGATGCATGGAGCTCAAATGGTTGCTTTTAACATGCAGGTTTCTTATTATAAATCCTTATCTCAATTATGTGAGCATATGATTTCCTGGTGTTTTAGTCAAGATAGTGTTGTGAATTCCTTGTGGATTATGTTATGAATGTATAAATTAGACTTGAGTTCTTGTTTGGCATAAGTTGCTTTTGACTTATTTGTTTGAAATGGATGTTACAGAACACTTTTGTGTTGCGAAACTTAGGCAGATCAAGTCATTTCGGCCAAATATTTCTTTCCAGACAGCCCTAATTGTGTTTAGTCACCATAAATGTGTGTCTTTGTATATCAATTGAATAGTTCAGAGGACCTTTTAAGGGAAGTGGTTTTTACTTTTGAGTACAAGTGTTCTGTCACAGACATTCAGACAATAATGATTGCTACATAGCAGATGAAATTATAACTAGTTCCACTAAAACTAATTATGCTATGTCTCTACCACATTCCTTATTAGTAAATATTGATAGGGACATGGAAGATCACTTTGGTTGATGCATGGAATGTTCAAATCCAACGGTGGGTGTGGTTATGTGAAGAAACCGGAGTTTCTATTGAAGTCTGGTCCTCACGGCGAGGTCTTTGATCCTAGAGCTGAGTTACCTGTGAAGATAACTTTGAAGGTGTTTCAGATTGTTTGACATTTTCTTGGTCCTTCTATTGAAAGGCCCGAACGACATTCGTTTTTTATTTCCTTCTTTATTTTAAAGAAATGACTTTAATTCTCTTAATAGGTGAAAGTCTATATGGGGGACGGATGGCACAATGATTTCCACAAGAAAGATTTTGAAGTCTTTAGCAAGCCAGATTTCTATGTTAGGGTATGCCAAATTCCCAATGCTTTATCTCATCATCCCTCTTGTCCCAAGAATAATTATATACTCCCCCCGTTCAAATTTAGTTTTCCAATTTATTGTTTTCATTTGTCCGGAATCAGCTGTCCATTTTCCATATTCAATAAAGAAATTATGATGAATTCTCTAAAATATCCTAAAAATATGGCATGAACATTGTCGACATATGAATGAGTGACAAACTCCTTATTTGTCATTTCGAACTCATTTCTTAAAAAAGAGATTTTTTTAGAAAGTGGACAATCAAATACAGATGAAGGGAGTATGTATTTATGATAGTAGTTTTGGATCGGTCTATCTTTAGGTAGGAATTGTTGGAGTCCCTGCTGATAGCAAAATGAAGAAGACAGAAACAGTGGATGACAATTGGAGACCTGTTTGGGATGAGGAATTTCAGTTCCCATTAACTGTCCCGGAACTGGCTCTTCTTCAGATTGTAGTTAATGAGCATGACATGTCTGAAAAGGATGATTTTGGGGGACAAACATGCCTCCCCGTATCCGAATTACAAAGAGGGGTTCGCGCAGTTCCTCTTCATGATCGCGATGGAGTGAAGTTTGGCTCTGTGAAGCTGCTAATGCATTTTGATTTTGTGTGAGTGCATTTGCTGTTTTTTCTTTCTGTAGTAGTGTAGAGACTATGGGCTTGTTTTCTTCAACGAATGATTCTGATCTGATTGGAATAGGTTCTGATCTGGTTTGATATGATCTGAATGTAGTTATAATAAAGTTGTTTCTGATCTGGACTGAACTGATACCAATAAGTAATAAGTAGCAAGGATGAGTCGAAGAGAATAGGCTCCCGTATTAGTAATGTTTTATGTGAACTGGTTGGTCATCTATAATAAGAGCATTTTCTTTTTTTCTCTTGTACTGTCCCACAAAGTGCAGTTTTTGTAACCAATTGGTTGCCTAGTTTAAAGACATGCTTCCATGTGTGGGTCTATCTTGGAAAGGTGTTGTGATAGTATCCTATCATTTGGGCAAGTTTGCTTTTTTAGGTAGAATATGCTAGGTTGAGTAGAATATAAGTTTTGTATATAATGTATTGTGCTAGATTTTGTTGTCCATTTAGTTTGAGAAACCATTTAGAGCAAATGGCAAATTTCCGCATGAAAACTTTGTGATGACCCAAGTATCATTTCATTCTCCTATCTTTTACACTTTGGAATTTGATTCCACTATTCTTGACCATTATACTCTGCAAGGGAGAATTTGATTTGGAACTAAGCTTTGTTGTGAATGAAAGGATTTTGATTCAAATCCAAAATCCTTTTTTTTATAAATTCCCAAACATGTAATTTGGATCAAATTTGAACTTGAAGTCCAAGTGTAAGTTCCAACATGACATTAGTTTATTCGCATTCAATTCAAGAATATTTGTGTTCTCAAACTTTTATCAAATCAAACAAAAAAAATTCATACGATTGCTAAAGATCCACTTTTATTGGTGGGTGTTCGAGAAAATTGATGTCCTTGAGTCAAAACATGAATTTAAACAACTTCGAAAGGAGTTGTTTTGCTTGGAGTGACTTTAGCACGTCTCCATTGCTTCTCAAGTGCATCTTCATTTCTCAAATTAACCAAAATGTCATTGATGAGAACAATACAAGAATCTCATCTTTCTTCTTCTTGAAAAGTACGAGTGATTCCAATAGTAATTTCTATATCAGATGGCAATCTCAATAGCTCCTTAGGGAATACATTTGGACAGTCACTCATCACTAATACATCTATTTGTTTTCCATCCTTTGTGGTTTTAACCAATGTCTACGACATTAATCGAGCTCGTTTATTGCAACATCAACTTTGGAACTTCCCGTAGAACTATTATCAACAGAGCATACACTACTTCTATTAAGATAGAAATACCAAGCAAACAAATAGCAATTGATAGATATAGGAATGGATGGTTGAATAATTTATTCACCAGCTGCTAAAACGAAATTTGAAATTATGGGTGTTATAAAAGATATACACGGCCAAGTGCCAAACAGCCCAAGGACATAAATGTTTGAACAGCAAAAACCTGCCTCCAAAATTTATTTTTAAAGTTATTTTTCGCGCGATATTTAAGGAATTAAAATTGTTCATTCCCTACATTTTTACAACATAAGGGTGTGCTGAGTAGTCTAACCTCCACTTATAGGAGGAATAATTGCAAGCTCATCTTTGTTATTGACAATGGTGGATTCTGAAATGTACTCACAGTTAAGGGCAAGAACCATGCAACTGCAGATCTCTTGCAAACTTGGGAACTTGGCAATAAGCTTACCCAAACAATCTTGTGCAGTGCTGCCAGGTGAAACTTCCAGATGCATATTTTCCAAGCCGGTAAGGTCCCTGGCACGAGCAAAGAACAGAACTTTCACACGAATAAACGCATCCCCTTTTCCTTCCACCTCAAGAATTCCATCCACGGGATCCATAATTATAATATGCAACCTGCATATGCATTGGTGAACATCAGCTGTAAAGATATCAAGGATTGTCATCTTAATTCCAAGTTGGAATTTAAACACACATAGCAATGCCTAAATTTTGGATCAAGTTCTCAAAACAAGATAAAGAAAAAAATGCTAGATAGCATACATGCATATATTGATTATATCATATATGCATCTCCATGTATAACAGATCTGCCTTAAACGCATAGTGGTTCTAGTGCATAAATGTTTACGAGCCACTTTACAAGAGATAAATATCTATGAGTCCCTTGATAATTGAGACTAGATAAATGCATGGCCATGCTCAAATAAAATAATGTGAGAGACTAATATTATATTTTCGTGAATCTACTTAATTAATCAAGAAACCGATGATAACAGTACAAGCCTAGAAGGTGATATGTTCTATGCCTTGTGTTCAATCTAGATATTTGGACAAAGAAATTATTTAACAAAATAACATCTGCCACAAAATGGTATTGTTGAGCCAAACGAATCTCCTCTAAAGGTGATGCTAGATCCACCCCTTAAATGGCTATATCTACAACTTTCACCTAATTTATCTAAAGACATGCTAATATCAAATTTATATTAATGGGTGTGGATGGGCTATTGCTAAATCCACCCTTCAATTGGCTATATCCACCCTATTTATGATAAAAGACATGATTACCCTTAACTATTTAAAAAAGAAAGGAAAAAGGTGTAGGACAAAATTGTCCATTTATTATAAAATGGAGTGGATTTGGCCAAATGAGGTGTGGATTTAGCATTACCCGTGCGGATTTGGCAAATTTTGGTAAAAGGTGTGGATATAGTCATTTAGGGTGTGGATTTAGCAACATCCCTCTAATAATTTGGGTAATAATAATAATGTGTTTCTAAACATATAGATCATTATTTATAATATAAAATGTGATTTAATACTATGGCTGACGCTCTAAGAATTTATAAGGTCACACACTCAGACCTGATTTACTAAACATTATGTGGTATGGACTTTTAATCCCAATGGGAAGAGCCATGATATGAGCCCATTAGGTGCAATCAAGGATCTAGAGAAGAGATGTCTATACAAGCTTTGACATCTACACGCTTCTTGGAAGAGCTCGAAATAGTGCTTCACGAAAAAAGAGAATGTAGATCTAATAATTTTTTCACATTTCTAGCAGTGTGTTGATGGGAATTTTTAGGCGATCCATTCGTTTGGACTACATAGAGACAACACAGGGTTGTGTTGCTCGCATGATCATCACTATCTTTTCCAGAGTGTAGCTTGTAAGTATCTCACACTTCAAAGGTTTAACTAAATAGACATGGTTGATCATTAATCTTTTGACGTCCTTATGGGAATTATACCTAGATTTGTTTAAATTTTTAGTTTTCCGTTGAGTTTATCTGGCCTTAATTCCCAACAAATATAAGATAAAAGTCCCTACTTTTATATTTGGTCTCAGGCTCTGATTCAAAATAGTTTCAACCCCGGGGTGGGAACAATCCCACAGCTTGAGCTAAATACATATACAAATCTGAGACCAGTATTAGAAAATTAGTGGAAAACATTCCTATAAATGCAAAAACTATCAAAAGGTAGAACAAAGCCAACATAAGACAGTCTGAATGCAAGTTGTGAACAAAAACCTACCCATTTTCCAAAAAAAAAAAACATTAATACAATGTAGCCAATTGCAGTCCCCAAAACAAACATCCGTAATCTGAAGACAGCCAGAAATCAACTGGCCTGAGACATAATTCAAAGAGAAGTCTCAAAAGGAACCATCATAAACTTAAGCAACTGAGAACAAAAATGCCACTGAAGAGCATCTAATTCAGTTAAAGGAGAAGAAATCATCACTGCATCTTGTAGCAAAATAGCTACTAGAAAGAGGGGATTAAATCCAGGTGTTGTTTCCTCCGTATTAATAAACTATTAAAAACATAAACTTTGAATCAACAAATCCATCACTTAAAGAGTTTTCTTTCCCAAAACATTCTATGAAGCAAATTCTGCAAACAAATCCTCACAAAATACTCTGTTCTAATAGAATTGGCTTTTTAGAGTTTTCTTTCCCAAAACATTCAGTTATGAGTCTTGGCCAAAACTGATTCGGAATAATCATCGAAGCTACTTTTGGGAGTTCAATCATGAAACACTAAAAAGATATGGAATATAGACTGCTTTCGATTTGGGAAAAAATAACTAAACCCTAATCTTAGTTCTAAAGTTTGGAGATGAAATATGGAAGAAATGAGCCTGGGTTGTGAAATACCTGAATCGGAAGGAAACCAGTGAATAGCCAATTCTGTCCAGAAACGTTCGCACTTCGCACAAGCCTAACCACGGGAAAAAAAAGTACTGTAATTCATTTTCAGTCCATTATACCAAACTCAAACTCAAAAAGATATATTCCAATCCATTTACTATAAATTCTTTTTCTTACTATTTTTTATACTTTTCAATGATTAGAATTTAAATTACCGGGAGATATTTAACTATTAACAAATTCAATTTTAACTTAATTTTAGTATTTTAATTTCAAGTTATTCAATTTTTAGTTATTTTCAGTACTTTGTTCAAGTTTAATTTTAATTTACGGAATACTCCGTATATTTTAATATGTCAATGCAAACATATTCAAAAATAGTACTGTCGGCGTCCTCATTTTGATTACAATTTTATTTTCTCTCTTCTCTCAACAACTTTTGTTTATTTATGTATTTTCATTGATTATTTGATAAAATAAAATATTATTGTCATCTCTTGTTTTGTAAAACTTTAGACGTAATATTTTAGTATGAAATCTTTATTTTTTATTGATGTACCAAATTGTAAATAAAATGATTTCAAAAATCGTAGAATTTACTCCGTGTATCGTAATTCCTATTTTGTAATCAAAATAAGGACGGAAGAAGTAGTTTCTTAAAATATATTAAACTAATAAAACAAATTAAACACATATTAATTTTTTTACTAGAGTAGAATATCACAATTATTTTTGGACTACTCCTGCTCATAACCTACCATTTAGGATGGAAAAAAAATAAAGAAAAGAAATTAAAATGCAGTTTTGAATAGTGCAGACGCATATATATATATATATATATATATATATATATATATATATATATATATGCGTATCGTAGAAGGAGAAAGATGCCGCTGGGCATTTATCCCCGATAATAGCACATTTTGTTTTTCGTTTTGGCCCTATCCCGAACAACACCCCTCTTCTAGAGTCCCTCTTCAGGTTTAATTTTTTTATTTTGTTAATTTTTGAGCAGCTTTTATTACTGCTACACTCATATAGTGTGGTTAGGTTTCACATCTCACTCGGACGTGTGATTAAGTCTTTCCCTGAAAAAAGGAAGGTGGTCACTGAAGCTCTACACTATGACCAAGAAAGTTTATCTTCCGGTAAGATGGAAAAAATTCATCTAGTTCATCCCAGGAAAAAAACATCCGGCGTGACAAAAGTAAAGTTATCTAGTTCACCCCGAAAAAAGCATCCGTTGTGACTATTATTTTGTTTTACTACTGGCTTCCTTCCTTCTGCGGATCACTGTATTTATTACTGTACATGATTTACATCTTTGCCTCTAGAAATTTTAATGCTGGAGTGTTGTGGAAGGATCAGAAGATCGATGTTGATTCCTTCTTCTGCATTTCACGAGTTTGCATTACCGAGATGCCAGTTTTGAATATTGTGACAGTAGCAATTTTTGGCGGGATCATCCACAATCATGATTGCCATTCATTATGCCACTTGCCCCTACCCCTTTTCAACTTCACTATCTCTCTTCTTTTTGAAAATCAATCTGTCTTAATTTGATTCTCTTGCCCCTTCTTAATTTGATTCTCTTATTGGCATGTTGCTGATAATCAGTTTTTAGTTTGTAAGCTGCTTATAAGTCTGGCAAATATTCTTTCGTTGAAATAAAATGATTTAAATGATAACTAAATCATTTCTAAATATTCATAAATGGTGAGAGACATCTTTATAAATAATCGGGTCAAAATGGAGAAACGAAAAAACTTTTAGAAATCACCCTAAATAGGACTAAAACATAAAGAAAAGTACCAAAATAGGACTTTTATGTTTTTTTTCCAAAATAGGACTTTGCACTGTGGTAATGTGGCAGTGTACATGTGCACATTACTATACTTTTTTGGTAATGTATATGACCATGTTTGGTAATGTAAGTCCTATTTCGGGAATAAAAACATGAAAGTCCTATTTTGATATATTTTCAATGTTTTAGTCCTACTTTGGTCTTTCTTTCTTAAAAATAAATAAGTAACTAAGATCTACTTATTTTTTCTGGCTTATAAGCAGCTTATAAGCATATAGAAACATGTCATCAGTTAACTTATAAATTAAAAATTGCTTATAAGCAGTTTTGACCATTTTAAAAGTACATAGAAACACACACTTAATATATTAATCCAGCATGAACTATCTTGCATAAAAGGTGGAATGTCCACCCCGGGCGCCCCCCGCCCCCCACACCATGGCCCGACAGGATTTTTAAGAGGGTAAATCATGGTATAATCTCATTTTGATTCTTAGAGAGGCTACCCGTATGTGCCAAGTGCGCACAAGAAGCTATTACAAATAATAGAACTTCTACATCATCGCTCTCAGAATTCGACCCTAGGATCAACGGGCTTGATATTCTCTCCTTGAATCAGTTGAGCTATCCATAGAGGCAAGTTGAACTATCTTCCATGATTATTCTTTGAGTGGACTCTTTGGGGGAGAGGCAAAGAGTAGCACACCTTGATTCCAGATGACAATCAACGACGGCAATGAGTTGTATAAGAAGTGGTGAGTTTATACTGGAGTACACTTTAATTACTGTCGTTGTGGGATTTAGTTGGGGCCTCATGGTTGGCGGCCTTGGAAGAACAAAATGGCTGCAACAATATAATGACAGTAATATGCATTATTTGTCTTATTACATTATTTGTTTTATTATATATTTTTTAGTAAATTAAACAAAGTGAATGTCTAATTGAAAGATTACATTTGGCACATGACAAATATGCATTTTCTAAATATGTGTCATTGCTTAATTTATTTATTAGACATTTTTATTTTAATTTTTATTGACTAAATTTTTTATTATTATCTTAATTGATGACTACCATTACGTTTGTATAAAATTTTTATGTCACGTGTGTATTGCACCTCGGCACGTGTCATGCCACATGTATATATTTATTATTACTCCGTATTAAATTTTCATAAAAAACCTTCACTTTCTTACATTAAATAATTTTTATTTTTATTAAAGTTTTATAAACCCTTCACTTCCTTGCACTAAATTAAATAACAATTATTGTTGAGCAAAAAGAACCTTTATTGTTATTAAATTTTAAAAGAAGTATTATAACACTTTTATCACATATACTCCCTCCGTCCCAAAAAGATTTACACGTTTCAAAAAAATTGTGTCCCACAATCTCCTACCCATTTCTATTAAAAAACCACTTTTACGCCTTACTTTTTCAAACCCTACCTATCACATCATACCTTTTTCCTAATAATCTACGCATCACATCCTACTTTTACCCATTACATCAAGGGTATTTTTGGAAAGTCAACACAAAATTATCTCTCCCTTAATTTCAACTTTAGTCAAAATGAGTAACACTTTATGGGACGGAGGGAGTAAATATTTATTAAATAAAAAGTTGTTTCAAACTTTTTATCCTATTACATACTACGAAGTATATATGGTGTATATTTTTTTCAACAAACTAAACAAAACAAAGTTATGTCATATACTCCATCCGTCCCTAAATAAAGTTCCTCTTTCGTTTTTTCTTTGTCCCTAAATAAACTTCTCTTTTCCCTTAAAAATCCTCTTTTACCCCTTACTTTTTCATACCCTACCTATCACATCATACCTTTTTACTAATAATCTACCTATCACATCTTACTTTTACACATCACATCAAGGGTATTTTTGGAAAGTCAACACAAAAATATCACTCCCTTAAATCCTCAAAAAGTCAAAAATGGAATTTTATTTAGGGACGGAGGGAGTATGTAATTTCTAATCGTGTGTCATTACTTAATTGATTCATTTGAATTTTTTTTAAATTTTTTTAAATGAAAATTATTTCTTTATTATTTTTTTCATTGACCATTTATTTTGGATAAAAAATTTCACGTCACGTGCGCACACCATGCCACAAGTGATGCCACAAATACATATTTTTTATGAGATTTTTATAAACTTCATAGATCATTATTAAATAATTTAAAATAAATAATATTTTATTTTTTAGATATCAAATTTTAGAAAATATGCGAGCCCATGCAAAGCACAAAAAAACTACCTTTTTATATTTTTTTAAAACAATCCACCATTTATTTTATATTCTTATTTTTACCAAATAACTATATTTTATTAACTATATGTTTACTATCTATATATTTTATTTCAAAATGTTTTATCTGTAACATTATTTAATTTGCTATATATTATTTCAACAAATTAAATTAATTTTTTTGTTGAAGGATAACACATGACATATAGGCCATATACCACATATGTATTTTCATTTATTTATCATTACTTAATTGATTGATTTGGCATTTTTATGTTATTTTTCATTAGTTAAATCAGTTTTCATTAGTATATCATTTTATAACAATTTGATATTTTTGGTCGAGTTGCTCTTATACTTTTACCATAAAGTGTGTAAAAAGTATATTATATTTAATTATAATGTAATTTTATAAAGAAAATGTGTCCATTTAAAATATTGTTTTCATATATCAAATTTTTACGATATTTAATTATTTAAAATTGTATTTAATTTATAATCAAAGTGTTACATATTTTTACCAAATAAGTCTAACTATGATAATCTTTTTGAGACGAAGGGTGTATATAGATTAAAAATCTTGATATATTTTATTCTATGATTGTATTCATTTTAGAGTTTATGTGTTACACCATTTTAAAATATATTTTTAAAAATATGTTTCGTACATAAAAACGAAACCTTGATGAAGTTTTTAATAAGCTATTCATCATTTTCCCTTTTATTACATCTCAAAATAAAGATTTATATAAATTTTAGTACATGTACATAAATATTAAACTAAAACTTATTTCTCAAAAGAGATATTTTATAGTTACAAATTATTTATCAAACACATCATATATCATTATTAAAGAATTTAAAATAAATAATAATATTTTATTTTTTAGATGTCAAAGTTTAGAATATATGTGAGCCCGTGCGAAGCACAGGGTTAATGCTAGCGAGTACGCATTTTCTAAGGGATAGAGAATATATACTAGTAGGAGTGTCATTTTGGCCTCCTCATATTGAAGGTGAATGATTCTTTTTATAGTGAGAGATGGACGGAATAGAAAATATGTTAAGGCGATGAATAACA